TCCGGGATGGCGCCGAGACCGGCTCTTGCGTGCACGTGGACAGCCGCGTTTGCTGCCCGGTGTGTCCAGAGGGCGCGGGTGCGCGTCCTCCGAGCGCCGGTCTCTGACCCTCGCCTGTGCTGTGGAAAGCGAGCGTATGCTTGAAAACGTCTTTTTGGCACAAGCAGAGGGGATGCAAAGGAGGAAACACAAGGGACTAATTGAAAAAAAGCGGCCTTCGCCAGCACTGCGAATGCAAATTGAGCCAATAACGCGGTTTATTCTTGTCTATCAAATTAGCAGAGATGAAGCAAGGTGGTGGCGCCCGTCAGGTGGGGCGCGGCCGGCGCCTGCGCCCCCGGGTGGAGCTGGCTCTGGCGGCGCTGGCGCTCTGCGCACGGGCGCCCTGGCCTCCAAGGCTGCCCGCGCCTTTGTTGGGGGGCGCCTGGCTCCAGACGTCTGGCCCGGGGCGCGGTCTCATGGGAAGTCCCCTGCGAGTGCCGGGGCTGCGCGGGGACTTGTGTGGGGTCCCCCAGCCCCCCTTGTTCTTGGGATGTTTTCTGACGCCCAAAGGATCTGCTGATTATTAAGCTAACGTAGGGCCAGGCAGGGAGCCTCTCATCGGGACGGGACTCTTGGTTCGAGCACATCTGCCGAAACCAGCAGGCAGACGCTCGGCCAGGTGAGCATCACCTGCGCGGCCACCTTGGCGCGAAGTTCAGCGTTAACAGGCAGTAGACGGGCCGTTTCCATCGCAGCGACAACAGCCCCCCAGGCAACAGCCCCTGCGCTCTCCCCCGGCTCTGCCATGCACCCCCCCCACATCCCCACCAGGCGCGCCCCCCCCCACATCCCTCCAGACTCGCCCACCGTCCCTGACTCTGACCCCAGATGAAGTGAGCCTTGCCGCGGGGAGGGGCCGCGCGGGCCTCTGGGTCTCTTTCGCTGCTGGGACTTGAGTCATTTTTACCTCGTCTCGTGCCGCCCCGCCCCGCCCCGCCCCGCGAGGCGACAGCCGTGGGCACAACCCCTCGGCGCTCTCGGCTGCTTTACTGAGACCCGCGCACGTGGCGTCCCCCAAGTCTGCACGTCGGACTCCGAACCGCAGAAGCTTAGGACGCGGTATTGCCTGCGGGTGGGGTCTTCCCCAGGCGCCGAGGGCAGTGACGGGGCTCTGGGGCGGGCGGGGTCCTCGTGGAGGGGAGACGAGGACGCAGACGCTCCCAGAAGCTGCCCGTGAGCGCGGCCGAGACCCATCTGCAGTCCAGGCCTGAGTGCCGGGCACCGTGACGGCGGCCGCAGTGGGGCGTGGACACGGTCCCTTGGGGGACACTGCGCCTGCACAAGCCGCTGTGGGCGCGTTGCTTTTCCTTCTGTAGTTTCCTGTGGTCCCCGAATTCTCCCCAAGAGGCACGCGTTGTAGTGGCGCGCTGCCCCGAAGACCCCGCCTGCCTCCGTCGGGAGCCGCCGCGAGCAGACAGCGGTCGCGAGCGGGGCTGGAGTGTCCAGCGGGCCTGCTGCTGCCCCTCGCCGTGCAGTGCCGGCCCAGGCCTGGAGGGGGACGCCCAGCCATTTTCCACACAGTTCGGTGACTGGAGCCCTGGTGACTAGACGTCTGGTGCCCGGCCCCTGCGTTCTGCGACCTTTTCCCCAGGACTCGGTGCCTGACCCTTTGCCCAGGCCTCCGGAGGGCCCAGCCAGGGCACGGGCGGGCAGCAGAGGGGACGGACGGCCACACATGTGTTGTCTCGCTCACACGGGCGCCGTGTGCCCGGCCAGCTCGCTGGTCAGCCTGGGGAGGGAGAGAGTCGCCCAGGCCTGTGGGTGCCATCGGGTCTGGGGCTCAGTGTCCGTGTGTCTCCCCCAGAAGCTGCCGGCTCCTTCGCTGTGGGTGCGGCCGTGGCTGGGCCGGGAGGGGCGCCGCGTGCTGGCCTCTGCCCCGGCGGCCGGCTTTCCCATGGGGGTGGGCCTCCCCATCACGGCACCGGCTGGAGCTGCCACGCGGGTTCGGCGCGCCCATGGGCTCAAGTTCGGCGGGGGCTGGAGAAAGCTCGGCTGCGCAGAAATTACGCATGGAAAGCCGTGGGGCCCGGCTCCCCTGGAGTCTGCTCGCTCTGGCTCCGGCTGCTCTTCGTGGGGGACCTCGGCCTTCCCAGGGGCCGCCCGCGCCTTCTTGCGCTGCGGGGCGAGGCTGCGGTCACCGTGGCCTGTGGTATGTCCGGTGTCCCCCGGGCTGCCTCACTTTCTGCTTTTTCACGTGAACTGTGGCCCCCCGTGTGCCGCCGCCCCCGCCCTGCCTGTCCTCCCGGGCCTGCCCACCCGGGCCCTCCGCCCACCACGTCCTGCCCGTCCGCCCGCTTCATGCCTTTGGTGCGGCGCCCAGGCCGGCCGGCTCCTCTGTCTCCCCTTGGTTGCTTGTCAGTGATTTGAGTGAGGGAGCACTCTGCTGATTGATTTAAAGACTCGCTTACCCTTTGAGGAATTATTTTTGACTTAATTAGATAAAGGGAGTAAATCAATTTGACGGATTGATTCGTGATCAGTTTGCACGCCCGGGTCTCCACCGCTCGGGAGAGCAGACTCACTTTCCGCTCGTGGCCGCTGAGCCCTGGCGGCTGCCAGCATCTCCCCGCTGGACAGCGGGCTTCAGGAGCAGGGCGTGGCCACTCCTTCCCACGGGGAAGCCGGGCCTCCTTCGGTGCAGCCTCGCGTCCGGGCTGCCGGGGCTTGAGGGACCTGTGCTCCTGGGAGGCATCAGCCCGGAGCCTGGCACTGGGGCCTCACCGTGGCCTCCCGGGCTCTCCCCTCAGCCACAGCAATGTCCCCCAGCCCCGCCTTCGGGTGCTGTCCACCCTCCTCAGTGGCCTTCTCGTCACTGCCCGGTCCTGCTGTCCTCCAGTTTCGGCTCCAGTGCCGCCTCTCCCCTGCCGAGGCCTCTCCAGAGGCCGGGCCCTCCGAGGCTGCCTATGCCTGCCCCCACGCTCACCCACCACCCACTGCCCCCCGCAGACATGCCTGGGAGTTGCCTCTGCGGGAGCTACGTGTGTGCACAGGTGCTGATGAGGGTGGACGCGCGGAGCCCGGGGAGCCGGCGAGGCTCAGCGTGAGTGGGCGGGGAGGGGAGGTGGGGGGGGCCCTTAGTCCCTCCCTCTGGGCCTCACGCTGCTGCTTCCTTCGGCTTCGCCTCCCTCCCACCCCACCATGCCCTGCACGTATCGGTGCTGGATGTGTGTTAATCGAATCCATCAGTATTTCAACAAATAACGTTCCTATTAACAAAAACTCCTACTCACAGCGTTATTAAAATACCAAAGATCCAGCCAAGTCAGATGAGAGTCTACATTTTTTCTGCAAAAATGGCATGAAAACAAGGACCCAAAGATCCAGAAATTTCCCTTCACGCGTCCCCGGGACCTGAGCCAGCGTGGCTGCCCTCCGGATGCTGTCGGGGGTGGTGAGGGCCACGGCGTCGGGGGCTGCTCACCCACACTGTCCTGTCCCCCGAGCCTCCGCCCGGCCGTGTCTTTGTGGGGTTGGAGCCCCTGATTGGGGTGTGCTCGGGGTGCTGCTTGTGAGAGAGCTTGGGCCCCCAGCTCGGGCCGTAGGTTGGCGGGTGTGAGCCGGTCACGCGTCCCCCTGGCCGCCGCGCAGGCCCCAGCCCCGCCACAGAAGCCAGAGCCGAGATTGCGGTGTCATCCGTAACCTTGGAGCGAACAGTATTTATTTTAGAATTAAACATTCCTCCTGCTAAAAGCAACTTGATCATAACATCGGTTGATTTTGCTGAGCCCAGGAGTTTTGTGAATTTATAGTCCTGAGCTGTGAGCCACCCTCCCCGGGCCGGGCTCCCCCTGTGCCTCGGGGCCCGCCCTGTAGCCAGCGCTGGCGTCCCGGGCGGGGCGTCGGGGCTGCAGACGTCAAGCCCCCGAGGCAGGTGGTGCGGAGGGCGAGGCCGTGGAGCCTCCCGCCGCCTCTGACACGAGAACGTTCCCGACGCCCGCCAAGGCCTGATGGCGTGAGGCTGGCCGCGGGGTTTGGCGCGGGTGATGGCGGCGTCCTGACATCTGCCCCGCCCCATCTCTGCTCCCTGCCGGGGCGGCAGCCTTCGTGCCTTGCGGGGCTGGCCAGACCCACGGCGCTGCGGATGCCGCGGGGACCCTCAGCTACAAAGCGGGGTTTGTGGGCGCCTGCTCCCCCGCCCACGGCCAGGCTGGATCACCGGGGGCATGTGGCCAAGGCTGGCTTTGCCAGGGCTCCCTGCTGGTGCCGGGCATGCCTCAGCTGCACGCTCCTGGCCCGCCTTTTTTGCACCCTGACTCCACAGGGGCACGGGGTGATTTTAATAGAGCACCTGCGTCTCGCCCCTTCGCGCTTCCTGCTCTGTTCAGGCAAGAATGGCCCTTGCTGGACGTTTGCCTTTGGAGAGAGGCCGTGTCCGTTGGATACAGAACGAACGTAAACGAAATTAAAGAAAATGGGGAACAGTTTTCCCAACGCATTCGTGATTGCTGTACAGGGTGATAGCGACTTTCTGCTTTGGATTTAAGAATCTAAAATTGGCTTTTTCAAATGTCTGAGAGGCCATTTCAATTAGGCATCTGTTGTGTATTTTAAAGCTTTTTAAGTTACTTTTCTCATTAGGCGTTTTGTACCGGGAGGAAATGACTCTGAGCTCCGCCGCCTATTGTGCTCCTCTTCCCGGGGTGTCTGAGCCAAGCGCGGGGGCGCTGACCTTGGAAGCAGGGGCTCAGAGGCGGCCTTAGCCCTTGCGGGCCCCGTGAGGACGCCCGCCTGTGGCCGGGTGTTGCCTGCTGGAGCGTGAGTGCCCACGGGGCCACGAGCTGCCATTTGTTAATCGTGAGGATTAGCGGGCACGGACCCTGACCTCGCCTGACGGCAGCGGGTTGGCGCGCGAGCCTCGCGTGGCAGCGACCCGTGTCACCCCGGGAGAGCAGGAAGGCGGCGCGGGCGCCCTGACTGTCCCTCATGCTAACTGTGCTGTCTCTTCCCCGCCGGCGCAGAGGACGACGACGTGGACGCTGCCGACGTCTCCCGCGTGCCCGCGGAGGTGCTGCGCAACGTGGAGGCCGACACGTTCTGGTGCATGAGCAGGCTGCTGGACGGCATCCAGGTGAGCGCCCGCGTGGGCCGGGCCCCCGGGGCGCGTGCGCGCAGCCTCCTGGGCGCAGTCGGGGCCTGCGAGGGCCGGCGCGGGGCCGGGGCGGGTGTCTGCAGTTGCTGTCTGCCCCCCCCCCCCCCCCCGACGCCTTTCCCCCGGAGCGCTGCCCCCGGTCCGGGGCGGGACCCGGTGGTGTGGTGCTGGCAGCCGAGGCTGAGACGTGCGGGAACCTGCCCCTCCAGGGCGTCCGATTCAGGGCTGCGCCTCATCTGTGGGCTCCCCTGCTGGACACAGCGTGCCTGGTGCCAGCGGGAAGCGCCAGGAGGAGGCCTGCCTGGTGTGGGCCGAAGCGGGCCCGGGAGAGGGCGGCAGCCCGAGTGGGCTCCGTGTGGGCGCGTCCTGCGGCCCCGCGGGCCTGGCTCATTCTGGCCCTCGCCGCTGGGCGTCCGCCGCGGGCTTCACAGGGCGTGGCCTCAGGAGGGAGGTGCTGAGGTTCAGCCCGAACAATGAGCCGAGCTGGTTGTGTGGAAGGCTCGTTGGGCAAGGCCCGGCGGGCCGCGTGGCTGGGGGCCCCTGGGGTGTCGCGGGGACGTGTGCCGCCGCGGGCGTGTGCGGGCCCAGCTCAGCTGCCCCTGCCCCTGGCCTTCTTGACCGTCCCGTGTTTATTGTTTTACCCAAATCTTAAGACTCTTCAGTCTCTTCGAAGAAAGATTGAACCATGACGTGAAACTGGGGGTTTCAAATGCCGTTTCTCCGACCACGGCGCCTGCGGTCACACGGGATCACCGCGTGCCCCGACGGGGCCAACTCCTGTGTGCGCTGGCCCCAGCCGGGTTTGCTGTGCCGGGGGCCGTCCTGACACGGCGGGGGTGTGTCTGCACGCGGGGCCCCGGCGGCCGTCCAGGAGCTGACATGCTCACGACGGCCTCCCCTTCACCCCCAGCCGTGGGTGCTGGGGCCGCGTGGGGGGCTCCCCGGGCTTCTCGCAGTCAGCGTCGCACACTCTGTCGCTCAGCTCCCCCGGCCTGCGCTCTGCGTGCGTCCGGCCCGTGCCTGTCTCTGCCCGCGGACGTCGGGCACCTGGGCGTGTCGGGCGGGTGGCTTGAGCGCCGACCCCTGTGGGTCTTCACGGCGTCCGTGCCCACGTGCGGCGGGTGACCTCCGCTCCCGGGAGCGACGGGCAAGCCTGTGCCTGTGCGGTGGGGGATGTTACCCCCGGCTCAGATGTTGGCTTCGGCGCTCGGGTGTTACCGGCAGCACCTGCCTCGGTGGTTTTCCTCCGCCGCAGCTGACGGCCCTGTCCATTTCCCAGCTGCCCGGAGGGACGGACGCTGCCTAGTGCTCACGTCCCGGCCGAGGGGCGCTTGTTTGGGGTCGAGCAGCAGCTCCCAGCTCACGGGCTCACCTCGCGTGTCCTCGAGAGGCCCGGCTCGGCGCACTCCCAGCCGCCTTCCCGGCGCTTCCCGGGCCGCGAGGTGGCGCCGGACGGAAGCTGTGGGTATCCGGAGGGGAGGGTGAGGGCGTTTCAGAGGGAGGGCAAGACTGGAAGTCCGGGGGCTGCGGCACCCGAGTGGGAGGCTGGCTGGCAGCGGCCGCCTCCTCTCGCCCCCTCCTCCCCGCCGGCCTCCCCTCTTGGCCTCCTCCCCGCATGGACGTGCTCGCGCTCGGCAGGCAAGTGCTGGGAAGCGGGAGGGCGCGGAGGCCTGCCTGGAGGCAGGGGCAGCGGGGGCGGGAGGACGCCCCCGCGGGGTGACCCTGAGCGAGGAGGCCACGGCCCAGTTCCTGTGTGTCCGTCCAGCTTGGCGGAGCTGCCCGGGCTCCTTCCCGTGGACGCGCATCTGGAAGTTCAGCTTGCGGGTGCTCGCTTCTCCCTTCCTCTTCCCGTCAGCGCTGGTCTCTGTCCCCGAGTCTGCGCGCTGAGCCCTCCTGCGCTGCCCGCGGGGGGCCCTGCCCGGCCTGGTGCCAGCGGGCGAGCGAGCCGGGTCAGGCATCTTGGCCGAGCAGGCCCGCGCGGGCCTCAGCATGGGGAGGGGGCTTTTTCCTCGAGGGCACTAGGAAGGTCGCAGCCAGAGACTAGGGCTGCGGGGGCCTCTTCGGCTTTTACGGGGGGATCCTGTGCCCCTGCCGGGCTCCGGTCTCACTAGCAACGCAGGCCGGGGCCTCGGCTCGCGTGCGCCTGCCCTGCAGTCAGGCTGTTACTCCTGGGTTCATTACCTAAGAGGACAGCCTGTTGGGGGGAGCCGCTGCCTTCACAATCAGTCATTTGCATTCCCTGTCCCCGGGGAAGGATCACTCAGCTCTGAGAGCTGCTGGTGGCGTCTCGTGCCGGGATGCGGGAGGCCCTTCCCACGGAGCACGTCAGCGGCCTGGGAGAGGCTGGGAGGCCGGTGGAGCGAGCGGCCCGTGGCGCGCGGGGAGGGTCCTGTTCTGGAAGGCCCGCCGGCCAGGCCGCCCGCAGCCCGCAGCGAGGCTGGGGGCCGGAGGCTGGGTGTGAGCCCCGCGTGGTCCTCTCCCACCTGCGCGTGGGTGGAAGAGCAGGGACTGCCGGCGGGGCAGCGGGACAAGCTCACCCTGTCCCTGTCCCCTCCAAGGGCAGCGTGACCCTCACTGCCGGCTGCAGAGCAGGCCCGCGGCTGGATGGGGAAGGAGGCAGCGGCCGGGCCCGTGCCCCCTGCGCCATGCTGTGCCTGGCGGGCTCTTGGGCGCAGCCATCGCACTGCCAGTTGGTGGACTCGAGGCCCCTGGCGACGCCGTGGAGAGCTGATTGTGCGGGCGAGAGTGTTAGGTCCGGCCGCCGCAGAGTCATCGCCAGTGAGCCATGCAGCGCAAGCGATTTAAAAGGAAAATCAGAAACGTTCACTTTACCGTGGCGTGGCAAGTACAAGCCACGTCCTGCCTGGGTAAGCCGTCCACTCCCTCCGGCCGCCCACGGTCCGCGCGGCGGTGCCAAGGTTGCCAGGCCTCCCGCCGCGGTGCCCTTGCGCCCGAGCGGGGTCTCCCCGGCTCCTGCTGTGTGCCATGGCCCGGCCGGGGCTGTCTGACGCTGCCGCGGTGCCCGCGGGTGGCCGTTCCGGTTCCCTGCCCGCGGCTCCGACCGCAGGCCTCTGCCGGGACTTGTCGTGCCGGTGAAATGCCTCCCTCACGCTCGCGACTTGCCGCCCGCTGAGCAGTGTCTTCTCACGCGCAGAAACATTTGGTTTTGATGAAACTGATTTATTTTTTCCCTCTCGTGGTGCAGTTTTTTGACGTTCCTCCCCCGCCCCTCGGGCGCCGTGGTCTCCGCGTCTCGCGCTTGAGGCTCCGCGCCTGGCCTCCCGTGCGGCCCCGGGCCCGGCGTGGCGGCTTCTCTGTGCGGCGCGGCCGGCTCGCAGCGCTGAGCGCCGGACGGCTGCTGGCAAGCGGCTCTCGTTCCAGAACAGGTCGCTTGTCTGCTTTTCCGAAAACCAGAGGCGCGTGTTTCTGGCCTGTCCCGGTCCCCAGCTGCGGCGGCCCTGGCTGCGGTGGTCCCAGCCGGCGTTGCGCCTTCGCCCTGCGGTCTTCAGAGCGGGTGGAGTTCAGCTGCTGCGGGGGGCGGGGCCGGGGGGCTCCAGGTTTGCCTCATTTGCTGCGCGTCCGCGCCGCCGCCTGCCCTTCCGCTGTGTGCCCTGCGGCGCGGCAGCCAGCCCCTCTCCTGGCGTCCCTGCGGCCTGCCTGGTCTCTCCTGTGAGTCCCGCGTGGCCTTGAAGAGTGGGGCGCCCTCCGTGTTGGGGCGCACCCGAGCCCCCATGCCGTCTCTGCTGCCTGCGGTCGCCGTGGGTGTCTCCCGTCTGCCAAGGGGACAAACTGCCAGCGTCTCCTCGTAGCCTAGCGGCGCCTGCTCCGCGGTGGGGTCCCGGGCCCAGAGGCGCCGAGCCTTGGGCTGGGGTCGCGTCTGCGCGGTGTTCTGCGGGGAGCAGCCTCTCTGCCCTTGGCTCCGCCCCAGACCCCGTGCCCCGCAGCCTTCCGGTGCGTCTTTCCTGTCTCTCCGCGTTTCTCTGTCCGCGTCCTGCTTGAGGCGCTCCGGCCCTCGCGGTGCGTCCACGTGTGTGGGGGGCGGCGTCCCCGGAGCCATCGCTTCCGTGGCTGCGAGCTGGGCTGTCGTTTATTACTTTCGTTTCAGCTTTTCTTATTTTCTCCTTTTTTTCTTAACTTTTCCCAGATGAATCAAGTGCTTTTTAATCAAAGGGCCTTGATTTTCTTTCTTTTTTTTTTTTTTTTTTAAAACATTTATTTATTTATTTATACAAGCACCGGGCACAGTCAGAAGCGCGGGAGGGTGAGAGGATTCACCAGAGCCGGAGCGGGGAGCAGAGCAGGCAGAAGGACCGAAGGACACTGCTGAGGGGAGCAGCGGGCGGCAGGAGAGGTCTGCGCGCCAGGTGGGACCCTCCCCCGGGGGCCGGGGATCGAACCGGCGCTGCAGAGGCCGCGGGCAGCTTCGCAGCCCAGGGCCCAACCACTGCACCACTGGGGAGGCCCAGGGCCTTGTTTTTCAAAGAGGTTTGGGTTTACAGAAGGGCTGAGCAGGTGGTGCAGGGGCCGGCTGCGCCCCTCGCCCCTCGGGCAGACACACGCTGCTCCCGCCCTCAGTGTGGTGAGCCCCGCTGGCCGGTCGGCGGCCCCTCGCTGCTGCTGCTGCTGCTGCTGGAGCGCGTGCTTCCGTGGGCTGCGTGGTTGTTCTGTGGGCTCCGCAGGTAAACACACGCGGGAGCCCTTGGAGCCGTCACCGCTGTGTCTTCCCCCAGAGCTTTGGAGAAAGTCTCCTTGTTTCACTTCCCTTTGGCTTATTGTCCCCACCCCGCCCCCCCCCCCCCGCCTCCTTCCCAGGCTCGCACTCGGCAGGCCTCCCACTGGCACGGCCCAGTTGCTTCTGACGGAGCTGCCCTCGCCCCTTCTCCAGACCAGAACCGTGACCCTGGCGGGCAGGAGCCTGGAGCCAGCCTGACTCACGACCCCCAGCCCGTCTCGCGCCAGTGGCCCTTGGCCCCGTTCTTCTCCCTCCCCCAGGACGTGAGGAGGACGCTGCAGTGCGGGCTTCGCGCTGAGCAGCTGACGTGCTGGACGACGCGATCAGGACTCCGCGGAGCTGGCTGGAGCCGTCGCGGGTGGGCCGGTGGGAGCAAACGAAAGGCCTGTGCTGGGGCCCAGGGACGCGGCTGCTGACGGGGCCGCGGGCAGCTCGGGAGGGCCTGCGTCCCTCGTCTGTCGGCTCCGCTGTGCCTCTGCAGCCCCGGTGATCCTCGAAGCGCAGCCCTCGCCGTGGAGGCTGACGTCACCGTCCCACCCGAGGTTCTTCTCTGCTCGGCCCTTCCCTCCAGGACCGCCCAGGACGGCCTCTGGCCTCCTGCTTGGTCACTGCCCCGCGAGCCACGGGGCCTTCCTTTGCCTGTGGCCTTCTGCACCTGCCGCGGGCAGCTGGGCGTGCACTGTCCCCCGGGGGCCCCCGCTCCGCTGCCTCGGCCTCTGTGCCGGGCCAGGGCCAGTCCCCGTCCCCTTCGGCCCAGGGTCCCAGACGGCCCGGTGTGCGCCTCCCGCCCCTGTGAGGACACTGGCCTCACGGCCAGACTGTCCTGGTGTGGCCAGAAGGGCCCTGTTTTCTCCTGTCTGTGTCGGGGGACCCTAGGACCACCCAGGTTGAGTGATTTCCAGGGCTGAGCTTTTCTAGCTGTTTTCACACCCTGGCTCACCTCATGGGGGTCCAGAGGCAGAAGGCGCAGGCAAGCCCCGCCCCAGCCCCCAGCCCCTGGAGTGGAGTCGTGGGGTGCACGTGAAGTGCCCCCTGAGCGGAGTCATGGGGTGTGTCAAGTGTCCCCCCGGAGTAGAGTCATGGGGTGTGCGTGAAGTGCCCCCTGAGCAGAGTCGTGGGGTGTGTCAAGTGTCCCCCCAGAGTAGAGTTCTGGGGTGTGGGTGAAGTGTCCCCGGGAGCTGGCAGGGGCTGTGGCCAGCGCTGTTTATATGAGCTCTCTCTGCCGAGTGCGCACCAGACCCAGACTCCCCGAGGGAAAGTGGGGTGCGGCATGAACCCCGTTGTGGAGTGGCTCAGCTATCAGTGAGGCAGGGCCAGAGGCCTCCCGAAGATCAGCGCCCGGTCGCCAGCTGAGGGCACACCCCCTGCCCGGAGCAGCGCCCCCTCCCGCCCCTCTGCTCGGCCCGTGTCTGGGCCCGCCCAGGCCTCGGTGCTCTGCCTTCGGGTGTTACCGCACGAGACTGGGCGCGACTGTGGCGGGGGCGCCGAGGCCTGGGTCCTCTGTGTGGCCAGGAGGCCCAGGCCGGGGCAGGGCTGTGGCCCTGTGCCCTGGGGGCCGGCAGGGCTGGAGGAGACGGGCATCTGTCAGACCCTTGTGGCAGGAAGGGCTCCGAGGCGCGCCGGCGGCGGGGGTTAGGCTGCAGCAGAAGGAAGCTGTGTCGGGGGGAGGGGGTGCTGGCCGGGCCGGGGCAGGTGAGGGTGGCTCTGCGGCCCCGGTGCAGGCTGGTCCTGAGTCCTCGGGCTGCGGGCGCTCGCAGGGGTGCTCTGGGCCACGGCCAAGCCGGTGACGCTCTGTTCTCAGTTCTCCTCTGTCTGCGCCTTTGAGAAATGGACCCGACTTGCCTCCTAAGAGCAGAGGAGGCGCAGCTTGTGGCGTGGGAGGTCGGCGTGGCGCGGAGGCAGCCCCAAGGCGCTGCTTTGATGTTGTTTGGCCAAGACGGACCCCTCAGCAAGACAGGTCCTGCGGCCGTGTCCCCGGCCCCCACACCCTGGCTGTGCGGTCCGGTCTTCAGAGCCCCAAGATCAAACCCGCTTTGAGAGAACAGGGACTTCTCCTTGTCGTGAAGGGGCCGGTGCTGCTGGTGCTGCCGCTGGGCGGGGCGCGGGGTTTGTGCTCACGCGGGCAGACTCAGGTGGGGTCAGGTGCCGCCCGGGAGGGCCCAGCACGGCTGCTCCACCTTCTCCCCAGCCCGCGAGCGGCAGTGTCCTTGGGTGCCCTTCGCGGCTCCCTGGCCGCCAGGCCCCTGCAGCGGGTCGGAGGCCGTCTCCGCTTCCCGAGCCTCTGTCCAGACGCCAAGGTCACACCTGACAGTCATTTGGGCCTTTTTTCTGTGGCGCTCAGATGTCATTGTTTTCTCATTGTTTGAGTTTCTGAGAAAACCCATCATCCCTACCTGGGATTTGAGCAAATTGAGAAATAAAACAAAATAGGGGCAGATGGAGACCGAAGAATAACTTTTATTTCTTCTAAATGAAAAGCTTGAGTCCTTTCTTGGCGTGAGAGCCAAATAAACTGGCTGGCGGAGCGCGGGATTACTCCTGCCCACCCACCCTTACGCGCAGAGCCGGGGTGGTCAGTCTCCCCGGGGGGAGTCTTTGTACGGCTGCCTGTCTGGGGGTGTGAAAAGCAGTTTTTGGGGAGCAGCCTTCCCCAAGGGAGCAATTATTCCTGGGGGTAACTTTCCCTGGGGAGCAGCCTTCCCGGGAAGCAGGTTTCCTGGAGAGAACAGCCTTCCCGGGGTCCTTCTGGGGCTCAGCTGGCCGAGAGGTGGGAGCAGAGTTACTTTCCAGGGGTGAGTGTCTTGGGGGAGAGGATATTCTGGGGTGGCTCACCGACCCCCGTGTGGAGGCAGAGCCCAGGACTGGGGAGTGTTGCCCCCTAGTCCTGCAGCTGGCTGTTTGCACAGCCATCGGCTCCCGGCCAGCCTGGCTGGCCCAGCCCGGGGCTCCTCCCCTGCGGTTGCTCCTGCAGCCCAAGGGTGTCCCAGAGGCGGAGATGCACTTGCAGCGGCTCTGAAGTTTGTAAGGATCGAACTTCAATTAAGTAACCCGCAGGGTCCCTCCGTAAGGCCGCAGTCGCTCTCCGGTTTATTCTCCGCCCTCCGCTCTGTGGAGCTGCGCAGCTGGACGCAGCTCAGTCAGGAGCCAGCGTGAGCGTCCTGCAGTGCCGTGTGCCCCCGGTGGCCTGCTCGGCCCTGCCGCGCCCACGCTCAGCTGCGTCCTGCCGTCGGGCTGTTCACTCGCAGTTCACTTGCCCTGCGCTGGACGCGGGCATCTGACGCATGTTCTGTTTTCTCTAGGACAACTACACCTTTGCCCAACCCGGGATTCAGATGAAGGTGAAGATGCTAGAAGAGCTTGTGAGCCGGATCGATGGTAAGCCAGCTGCGGGCGCCCTCTCCCGTGGGCAGGGGTGAGGGGACAGGGTGGGAGCGGGGTGTGCCCGGCTAATGCGGGCAGGCGCTCTCTGTCCACAGTGGGGCCTTCTGCACTCATTGATGCCCCCAATGTGGGTGGGCGCTCCTGTCAGCCAGGGACGGCCGTGATCTGGGCAGCCGCTTGCTGACCGCTGGCCCTCTCCTCCTGCCTCTGTGGCCGTCCTGCTGCCCGGTGCCGGCGTGGCTTCTCCGTGGAGCACATCCATGCCAGTCTAGAACTAACGTCTTCATGACAGGAGAATGGCAGCAGGTGCTCGGTGACTTCAGGGTGTGCTTTCCTGTTTGAGGGGGGCCGGGAAGACTTCCACCTCCATCCGCAACGGCCGGTGAACGGAGACCAGCCCAGAGCCGCTCGGAAAGTGGGTGCGGCTCGGCAGGCAGCAGGGAGAGGCGGAGCTGGGGCCTGGCATCCCTGAGCCTGCGCGCTGGGCTGGCTCCAGGGGACGCCGCCTGCCCCGGGCGCCCCCTGCGCCCCGTGCTGCCCCTGCTGCCTACCCCCGCCGCGCCTGTCCACGTGCGTGGTGGGGGCTGGCGGAGGACGGGTGACGGGGAGCCACGCGAATCAGAAACTGTTTCGTGGCTGTTGGGGCCTGGCTCCGAGGGTGTCTCCTGCTTCTCACCCGGTTTCCACAGCATGAAGCTTCACTCTGCGCTTCCAATAATGCTTTATTTGCTTCGGGATTATATTTAGCCGTTTTTCAAACTGTCTATTCAAAATAGTGGTTTTTGCTTATGTAACTGCCTTTATGAACATTTATTGTTAACTTTGCGGCGAGATCTGTTTCTGATGTTGGGTTTTTTCCCTCCAGCAGTTTCACGACGGTTCCCCAGTCTCATTTAGCTCTTTGAAATACGGCTTGCAGTGGATGCGAATTACACTTTCGGAGCGCCGTCTTCTCTCTCTTGTGCCCCTTAGAAGGCATATTTTATATTTTCGTGGAGGGTAGAAGTTGCGCTTAGTGTTCATTTGTTCCAGCGCTGCAGTTTGGGAAATGCTGGAATTGATTTTCCCCAGGGCTGCGGCCGAGAAGGAAGCACATTGCGGATTGGCTGGCTGATTGTTTAAAAGAGCAGCAGCCGCAGCCGCAGCCGCGCGAGGAAGGCCGCCGCCCGTGCCGCTCCGTAAATCACGTTTCTATTTCCAGTGCGGCTTCTGAGGAGGGCGTTTCTGCCCCGCTGTTCTGTCGAAAGGGCGAAAGGGTCAGTTCCTCACCACAGAGAACCTTCCTCGCAGCGGGTTAAACTGTGCAGCCCGTTGGTGACTGTTCTTCTAACGAGACCTTGCGCGACTGCGAGCCGCCCTGAACACACGCGTGCCCGGCTCCCCCGCAGGGCGTGTGGCCAGAGTGCGGGCTCCCGGCCGCCCCCCGCGCCCCGGGCAGGAATGTCCACGGCTTCCGCCCTGGAGCCCCTTCCCTCGAGTCACCTCCCGTAGGAAGAACTCGTGGGCCTGCATCCTTGCGGGACTGTAAATGTTCTAGGGAAGCAGGATGTGCTAAGAAGAAAAAATTGCTTTAAGAAAATTATTCTGTACTTCAGGGGAAGGGCAGCGCTTTCCACAGAGGCTCGTGCGCCTTGGCGAGGGGACGTGCCTTCGCGGCTTTGATGGAGACGTTTGGGCTTGTGGGCCTGACTGGGGTGAGGTGCTGCGAGCACCAGGGACATGCGGGCAGGCGCCAGGTGACCCGTTCCCACGGCTCCTTCCCTCGCGAGGGGCTGGCTGGGGCTCCTCAGGGGCGTGCTGAGCGAGAGCTCGTGTGTGGGCTGTGCCGCGGCCCTCTGGGCCCCTGGGCCTGCTGCGCCGATGGGGCCACGTGGAGGCAGGAAGATGGTGGGCTGGCCGGGCAGGGCAGGGCGCCCATGTGGGGAGATGGCATGTGAGACAGTGCTCTGAGCTGGCCGGGCACTGCCCCGGAACTGCCCTGTGCTCCGGGCAGAGGCTGCAGCACTTCCGTGGGGTGAGAGCTGGAGACGGGAGCCAGGGTTTGGAGTGAGAAGATGAGAGGAGGAGCAACTTGGGCCTGCAGGCTGGAGGGCCAAGGGGGGTGCCTGAAGGACCCGCGTGTGAGCTTTTAAAGCCAGCCACGAAGGAGCGGGAGCAGTGGGGACAGGAGGAAAGAGGCGTGAGGAAGGCAGGAGACAGGACGGCGCCGGGAAACATGGAGCTGCTCACAAGAAACCAGAGCTCCCTGAGCCGCCTTTGAGGCGGGTGCTGGACCCGGGGATGCGCCCAGCACCAAAGGCAGCTGCCAGCCCAGAAAGGACGAGCCAGAGAGAGAGCTGGGGCGCGCGGGCAGGGCCTGTGGCCTGGTTCCTGGGACCTGGGCTGGGCGGGCCTCACTCCCGGGGCCCTCGAGTGCTCGAGGAGCGAGCTTCTGTCAGAAGGCCCTTTCTCCACACGGACGGCCCCGCGTGCAGTCGGGCAGTCGAGGCCGGACGCCTGCGGCGGGGTCAAGCAGACACAGGCCCTCGAGATGCTGCGCTTCGGTAATTATCCCTGTGATGTCAGAGCAATAATAAAAGTAAGTTGAAATGTCTGCAGGGAAGAGGGAACAGTGTATCTGTGCACAAAAGATTTCAAAAATGAACGGATAGGACGCTTGGAATTAAAAAAAATCTGATCATCAGAATCAGTTGGCGGACAGGCTCATGAGTCAGACCCAGCCGGAGCGGAAACGGGAGACCGGGAGGGGCTGGAGGGGCTGGAGGGGGCTGGCTGTGACGCGGTGGGGCCTCGGGGCCGCGGCCCTGGGCTGGGAGCGCCGTGGGCAGCTCCCGGGGCCGGATGGGTCCAGCAGCCTAGCCGAGGGCACGGACGTGTGGGTCTGCCCCTCGCCGGGGGAGGAGGCTGTGGACTGTGACTGGACATGCCAGAACCCGAGTTGGGCTGACCCTGATGGGGGAGGCGCCGGGGGTGTGGGCCGAGCCTGGCCTGCGAGGGTCCCCCTACCTGCCAGGGACGGTGGGGCTAATGGGTGGCAGCACGTGCTGCCTGCAGCTAGGTGGGGCCCTCTCCACTCCCTTGGGGCCCGGGTAGCACTCGGCTCGCAGCCAGTAGCACTGCCAGAGTGGCCCTGTGGGCCGCCGGGCCTTGGGCCGTGGAGGGCCACCCGATCCCTGCATGGCGGCATCACTGGCACCCCCCGCCCCTGGGCCTGCACTGTGCCCCTGCAGAGCACCCCGTGCCCCGGGGCACCTGGGCACTGCCTGCACGCGCCCCTTCCGGTGCTGCTTAATTTAGGTTAAATGTGGTTTTAATGAAATTTCTCTGAAAGCTGCCTTGACTCCATTGTAAGGTTAAAATTGACTTATTCTTTCAAAGTCGAATTCAGTTACAGCCGGTAAACTAGATTCCGCTTTATTACCACCCAAGTGAAAATATTTTTATTGCTGCTACGAGGTTAGCTGTCGAGTGCAGAGAATAAATCAGCGCGGCCGGGGCGGGCCAGCCAGCCAGGGACCCTCCCAGCCCCGCCGCGAGCACGTCTGCAGCGGCGCCGGCCGTGACGTGACGTGGCCGGGCCGTGTGGGCGCCCTGCCAGCCGCTCGGGCCCCGCCGCGGGGCTCCCCCTCAGCGTCCCTGCCACCCGCAATCTGTGCTTTTCCCAGGAGGGGCCTGGCGCATGATGGGGGGCAGGCTCCCCACCGGGTCACACGCTTCCTCCCGCGACGGCCTCGGTGACTCCATTCTCGAGTGTTGTTTGGGTTTACTGCCAACGCGAGGGTAGCCGACGAGGTGTGGCGGAGGCTCCAGAGAAAGCGGCTTGCCGGCAGAGGCGCGGCGGGTGGGTTTTGAATCAAGGCCTCAGGTCTGGCTTGGAGATCACTCCCCAGAGCGCTCTGCCCGGCCTCAGGCTGCCTGTCGCGGCGGCTTCTCTCCTTGCCGCTGTCCACGCACTCACGCGCGGCCCTGTCCATCCTCCTGCCGACCCTCGACGCTCACCTCCTTAGCCCCACCCCCGCCCCCACCTGCGCGCCCGGTGCCCGGCCCCGGGAGGGCCACGGCAGGGCCAGAACTCAGATGCTTTCATCCTAATCCTTTGTCCTCAGAGCATCAGGGAGGGGGATGCTTCCAGTTTGTTACACATTTGGGGCGCGGCTGTTGACAGAAGGCTGGCAGCGGTTCCTGGGCCCCCGTGTGCCCGCAGCTAGGAGCTGGCCCTTCGCCTCCGCCCCTGCCTGAAAGGAGCTGGTCCGGGGTGTGCCTGGCCTGTAGCCTACTCTGTGCGACAGGATGGATCGGGGGGGGGGGGGTGTCCGCGCCTCCTGCCTAGGCAGACGCTTGGGGAGGCCGGTGCTCGCACCTCACGGGCCCCTGGGCCCCCCCAAACCCCCCCAACCTGCAGCTGGCCCAGCATGAGCTGCCACAGAGGGCCCGGAGGCGTGGGCCTGGGCCCTCCAGCCTCCACGCCGGGGCCGGCCTCAGCCTCCCATCTGAGGGGTGTGAGTGCGGCCGGCACTGGAAGCCCTTGGAAGCGGCTTCTTCCTGGGTTGAGCCTTTGGACGAGAACGTGGCCTTAATTGCAGCCAGGGAAGCCCCGAGGGGAGGGCCCTGCTGTGTCCTGCCTGGCCCTTTGGGCCTGAGACTGGGACGTGGCTGGTGCCGGTCAGGTGCTCGTCTGTGGCAGCTGGTCACGCAGCAGCAGGGAGCGGCGTGCAGGCCAGAGGGAGCCCACGGGCCCTTCTCCTTCCCGGACTCGAGGGAGTCAGGCCCGTGCAGTGCCTGTGGGTGGCTCTGCCCACCGCCCCCTGACGCCCTCGCTGCCAGGGGCCTCCTGGGGATGGAGACCGGGGTGTCTCTGAGGGCGTGCACAGGAGGGCCCTGGAAGTTTTGCTGAGCTGGTTTGGGGAGACCCAGGTGGCTGGGCTGAGGGCGGGGAGAAGGCGGTGTGGGGACCCCCGGGATCACTGGGGTCTCGGGGTGGGGGAGGGGCGGCCACACCGTGAGGCCCGCGGCACTCGTGGGACCAGGCAGCGGGTCTGCTCCCAGGGCCGGAGTGGAGCCATTCCACCTGAGCATCCAGGAGGGAGCTCAGAGGGTTCGGCCACAGTAGTGGGGCGCACTGACCCCACATGAAGTGTCATCCATGCCTCAAAGCAAGACCCACAAGGATTAAAGGAGTCCCAGACTGCTTAACTGTGTCCCGTAAAATGTTCCAACTCGTTTACAGGAATGTGAAACACCACGTTTATCCCACAGGGACACGTTCCCAAAATTTAGAATCCAAAGGTGGGGGAGTGGGCGTGGCCCAGGCCGGCCCTGGGCGGGGAGCTGCAGAGCTCTAAGGGCCACCGGGGCCAGTGTTGGGGTGCAGCACGCGGGGCCTGGAGCAGGAGAGATCCTGAACTGGGGACGCAGCAGTAGAAGCTTTTTGGGATGCAAGACGGAGACAGCAGAGTCGCCGGCGGGGTCGGCGAGCTGCCGGCCATCCGACGGCCTCGGCGGGCAGTTGGCGCTACAGAGGACGCGGAGAGGAAGTCCTGGCTCGTTCCCCACAGTGCGTGGAAGCAGGGAGCCCACAGATCCGGGAGCCGGAACAAGACCAGGCGCGTCGTCGAGGTGCTGCAAACCGTAATCAGAGACAACGCCGCGTGTAGCTGCGGGAGAAAGGGCCGTCACGTGCGAAGAACCAAGGGTGACGCGGGGACAGGTTCTCGCGGGAGACCGCGGCGCGGTGTGTTCTTGCGACGGGACGCAGGGGGACAGGACAGGAGGAAGCTCTTGGGCGGGGCAGTGACTCGGGCTTGACCTGCGGTGACCTGCCGTAGCCTCGGCCGGGCCGAGCCAGTGGCCCAGAGCAGTTGGTGCCCCTGGAGGCCTGGGCGCCCGGGACGCTGGCACTGTGCCTACTGCTCCCTTTGATCCGGGAGAGGGGATGCAGCTCCCTCGCGGGGACGCGCCTGGGGCCGTCTGTGGGTCGGAGCAGGTGAGCACCCTGTGGGTGAGCATGACTTGGTTCTCCGTGGCCGCGCTTCCGTGTCGCTCCGGGAGCTTGTGTTCTAGGATGTGTCACTGCCAGCGCCCCCTGCCCGCGCTGGAGACATGGGGGTGCCGTCGCGTCTGCTGTCGCTGTCGCCCATGCCTGCCGCAGCCCCGGCTGGGGCACCCCTGCCCTGGCGTGTGGCCCTGCGTGGCCTCTGCCCGTGCCCGCTGGCCTGCGTCTGGCGGCAGCGAGTGGGCACCGGCCCCCACCCCTGTGCACTCTGGACCCTGGCCCGGGGCTGGCCTCCCCATGGCCAAAGGCTCGCGCGTCTTCTCCCCCGCTCTGCTTCCTGCGCGCGTGGCCACCCAGCGTGGTCCAGCCCTGCCCTGCCCTGCACCTGCTCCTTCTTCCTGCTTGTCCTGCCCTCTGCACACAGGGTTGGGGCCTCCAGCCATGGGGCAGCTTGGCCCTGCCCCTCCTTGGGAGCAGACAAGTGGGTGGGCCCAGCCAGGGACCTCTGGGGGCAGGTGTTCACGGGCTCGTGGGCTCTTGTGCTGTTTGATTGTGCTCTGATGCAGGAATTGAGGCCTTCCCTCGTCAGAGCCACTTGGCCCTGCCCGGCGCAGGCCTGCGTGTCCCGTCTGCGCGGGCCAGGGAGGGCCCTCGCTCCCACTGCGGTGTCCGTGTGGAGCAGCTGTGCCTCTGGGCGGGCGGCCCCAGCGGTGCCCAGCCCTGCATCGCGCTGAGTGTCCCTCCGCCGGGTCTGTGGGTACAGGCCCCCCGGCTCACTGCGTCCTGGGACACGCGGCTGCGTGGCTCATTGTCAACCTCAGTCGAGGTGACAGGACGTCCCTGCGGCATCCGGGCTGAGCACCCGCCCTGAGGGGCCTGCCCGCTTGCGGGGCTTCCTGTGACGCGCGCCGCCCAGCCCATGTGCGTGAGCACAGACGCCGCGGCAGCCTGAGAGATGACGGTAATTACACCTGCCGGCTCGTCCATCATCTGGGCGCGCCTTCCAGTGAAATGGAAATTTCAAAACCAAAAATATTGCTAAGCAAACTACCTTATCAGTGAGAGCACGTCTGCTCGCAGCTGCCGCAGCTCCGTGGGTATGAGCTGGAAGGGACGCCTGGAGTTGAGTAGCTCGTCTTCAACGTGCTGGGCGCGGTGCCCGCCAGGCGCTGGGCTGGGAGGTGGTCAGAGAGCTGGCGGCGCCCACCCCCACTCCTCATTGCCTCCTGCCGAGGGCCACCCCGCGGGCCCACCTTGTTCTAGGGGGTGTTCCCACGAGGGGCGCCCGGCGCGGGGCTGCCCATGAGCTCTGGCCCGGGGCCCCGCCCAGCCCACACGCTGCCTCGGCCCGGGCTCACCCGCCGGTGGACGCGGTCCTGCCTGTCACTCCCTCCGGACCCCAGGCCGCTGCTCTGGGCCGAAGACCGGCTGGGCGCTGGGGCGCTCAGAGGTGGCAGACACACCGAGGCTCAAGGCCAGAGTCCCTCCCAGTCACAGGTCCTTCCCGTAGCTGCCCCCCTCACCCCGGCCCTGCGGCTGCAGAGCCCCGACAGTCTCCCCGCGGGAGCTGTGGCTGGGCCCCGTGTGCTCCCGCACGGGCTCCCTCAGTGGAGGCAGCGTGGCTGTGCCCAGGGTGCTGGCCCCAGAGATGCAGGCGCGTCCCAGAGGGCGGGAGGAGGCGGGGCGGGGCCGTCCTGAGTCCACAGGCGTGGGGGAGGGGCTAGCGGGCAGCCGGCGGGGCGCTGGCCGTGTCACTCTGGCTGCCTCATCTTCTCTGGCCAGGCCTGAGCTGGGGGTCGCCTCTGTCCACATGTGGGGGTCAGGGGAGCTTGCCCCCTCCTGTACCTCACTGCACCCAGCCCCTGCCGGCCGTGCTCAGGCGGGTCCCCCTCCACCCAAGAGCAGAGGTGCCTGTCGCTGCTGGGCGCCCCCGTCGCTGGCAGGTGTCCCAGACATACGTGTTCCGTTCCTCATTCCGTCCGCTTGCCTGCTCCTCTTAGCTCACCCAGTCACTGCCACTGTGCGGAAGGACGGGGAGCGGGTGTGAGTGGACCCCAGTAGTGCGGTGACCTGTTCAGCACTCTGACTCCAAGCCAGTAACGTTTTTCCTCCCACCGGCTGCTGTCCGTGGGGCCTGCGGCCAGTGCTGGCAACTTGGCAAGCCCTGGGCCGGGCGCTGATGCTGCCCCATGTGGGGACCATGTCCTCGTGGCTGGCCAGACAGGAGCCGGGGGCCGGCCGCCGTCCCGGGAGGCTCCCCGAGGCCATGCTCCGTGCGGGGTGCCGTCCCGCCTGCCTGCTTGTCCCAGCGTGGGCTGCGTGTCCACGAGGCTGGGTCTTCCTTTTTATGTGTGAAAAGCCTTTTCTGTAACTAGTCATTTCCCGAATAGCCAGTTTGCAGGTGTGCGCGATACTCGAACTGCAGGGTCCTGGCAGGGACCAAGACTGGACGGCCGCCCGCCAGGCCCGCCATGTCGAGGCCGCTGCGCCCCTTGCTGCAGGCGGGACCCGGCTGAGGCTGGTCTCCCGGGCGTGCTTCCAAGGGGGCCGGTGGCCCGGTTGTGCCCGGCCGCCTGCCTGCAGGGACCCTCCGCTTGCGCAAGGGGGGTCCTTCGTGTAGCGACACTTTGTGTAGTTTATTTAAGAAGCACACGCGTTAATGTCCCGGTCAGGTAGAGGAAGGCAGGTAAGTGGCTGGGCGGAGCCTGTCCCGGCCTCTGGGAGCCACGTGCGGGCGTGTGGCTGGCAGGGCAGTGTGTTCTGGGAGCTGCATAGACCAGTTCCTCAGCCCCTACCTGGAAGGCTCTGATGGAGACCTGCAGATGGCGGGAGGGGCTGGGCGCGGGCCCCAGCAGGCCGTCCGTCTCCCTGGAGGATGTGCAGCCTTCAAGCTCCTGGTCTGTGAAGACGGTGCCGTCTGTGCCCCCCGGGGCGTTGCTGGGGGCCCCTGGGTGGGAGAGGTGGGTGTTCTCGGGCCCCGAGGGCGCTCCTGACGGCCGGGCCTGTGCTGTCTGTCCCGCAGAGCACGTGCACCGGCACCTGGACCAGCACGAGGTGCGCTACCTGCAGTTCGCCTTCCGCTGGATGAACAACCTGCTGATGAGGGAGCTGCCCCTCCGCTGCACCGTGCGCCTGTGGGACACCTACCAGGTGAGTCCCTGCTCCGCCCTGCGTTTCCCTCCCCCAGTGCCCACGTCTCGCCGCCCATCGCCGGAGCAGGCGTGAGGGCAGAGGGTGCACTCCGTTCCCTTGGCGTGGTGTCCCTGGCCGGGGGTGGCACCCCGGGTCTCTTGGGAGCCTGTGGCCCTGTGTCTGGCTGCCGCCACCCCAGCCGCCGCCTCGGGACGCCCACGTCGTCTGTGTCCCGACTTGCTTGCGGTAGAGACTTTCAGAAACACGGACGTGTCCTGTGCGACGTGAAAGCTCCTCACTGCCAGTGTTGCTGGGGCTCATTTCTTCTGGAACAACGACCTTTGCTCCCTCGAGTGTCCCACTGCTTATTCTAGCACCTTTTCATCTCGTCGGCCGAGACGGAGGCCGCGCAGCGGGTGACGCCCGGTCTCCCCCTCGCTGGCGGAAGCAGGTGCTTGGGCCCGGTGATCGGCGCGCATCCCACGCAGGTCGCTTCACGCCATGCTCCGGAGGCGGGTCTTTGTGTGGCCAGCGCCGACCCTCATGGCCTAGTGGGGCAGCCACGTGGAGGCCGTGGCAGTGCCAGACCTCAGCCTTGGAGCCCTCGCTGGGGCGTCCCCAGCTGCCGCTGGCCCCAAGTGGTGCCCAGGGTCTCTGCCGGCCTGTGGGGCCCCGGGCCAGGTGGGGCCGGGAGCACAGGGTGCTGATCCCGCTGCTTTTCCCCTGCGCCTCCAGAGCTGCTGCCTGGAGCTGCGCCCCTTCCCAGGGAGCCCGCGGCGCTGGAGCGCACGCTGGCCTCTGCCGCCTCGTCCGCACTGGGCAGGCCGTTGGTGCCTCCAGGCGGCATCACAGCTGGGAGTCTGGCGCTGGGGGCTGTCCCAGTGGACACAGTTGTCTGCTGAGCGTGCCCCTGCACGACAGACATGGTGGCACCCACGGCCCCAGCCTCCAGGGCGGCCCCAGCCTCCAGGGCGGCCCCGGCCCTCAGATGTGGAAAGGGAAGCCCTCTGTGACCGCTGTCCAGCCTGCCCGAGGCTGCGCCACCAGGCCAGAGCCCCCTGTGGCTGCAGGTGGGTGCGGCGCCCTCGGTGTGGCTCCCCGTTTGTGTTGGGTCGGCCTTGGCGCCCAGCCTTACTGAACAGGCTCCCTTGTGAACCCCCGGGTGGGGGCCAGTGAGGTGCTGGGTGAGTCGCAGCTTGAGGAGCCGGAGGGTGGGTGAGCCCCGGGGCCCTGAGCCAGGTCGAGGTGCTACGTCAACCCGGTGGTGGCGGCTCTGGGGCGCTGACCCTCCTGGAGTTAAGATTGGTCATGAGTTGACTCACCATGCCCAGCCCCATTTTGGAGCGGACAGCACCCTGGTCGTGACCCTTTTCATGTCTCGAAGGCCGGGCCTTCGTGTCGGGACCGCAGAGAGGCCGCTGGCGCCCTCTGCTCTGAACGGGGTGTCTGTGAGTAGGACCTGCCGGCTCCAAGGGCTCCTCAAGCCCTGCTCGGGACACGGGGCCTCCAGACCCGTTGAGAAGCCTCCGTTTGTCCAGGCCCCGTGTGGGGCGGCTCCTCGAGGCTGTGGCTCGCCGGCACAGGCCTGAGGCGGCGCCCTGGCACAGAGGCACCCAGCCGGGCGGCGGCCCTAAGGTGTGCGGGCTCCCTGCCAGGTGGGCCTGGTGCAGGGATGCGGGCGCAGCCCTGGGAGAGTGTCCCCTGCCCGGGCCATGGTCCCGTGTCTGCCGCCGCCTGCTGGGGGCCGCTCTCCGGGCCTGTTCTGCCCTCGCTTCCCTGGCCCCTGGCGGGCTGCTGCGCCGTCACCCTGCGGGTCGCTGCAGGAGTGTGACCCCGACGCGGGCGGGCCGGGCGCACAGCAGGGCAGCACCACCAGCCCATGCCCTGTGCTGGCGACCCCTCCCAGGCGCCACAGCACCGCTCTCTGTGAAGCAGGCGGCGCTGAAGCTGATGGATTGGGCTAATCTAATAAACCGGAGAAGCAGGTCTCCTTACAACATGCTTTTTCATAAGCCCATTAAGCGCTGAGGCGCTAGGCTTCGCGCCCGCCTCCTGCAGGAAGCAGACATAGATCACTGTCAGCCGGGAAGGACTCAGAAGCCAGAAGATTCAGCAGGCCGCCGCGTGGCTGTTCCAGGGCGGCGCGAGAGGGACGTGTCTCCCCAGAGCCGGGGCCTGTCCTCCATGCAGCATTTAAAGGCAACGCCGCCGTCCTTGCTGACCTTCCTTCCTGGTGTTGCCGTCAGGCTGGGTTTGAGCAGCCCCAGGGCCCACGCAGCGGTGCTCCCGCGGGACAGGTGGTGGTGCTCCCCACACTACGCGCCCGCCGGTGAGCGGTGCCTCCGACCCACCTCGCTGCCCCTGTCTTGGCCCCCCAGCCCACCCGGGTGCCCGGTCTGGGCCCCAGAGCCAGGCCAGCTGTGCCCAGGCCCTGCTGACCTGCAGGCAGGACGGGGTAGCCCAGTGAAATCTCCTTCCCCGCGGCACTGCCTGAAGCCTGTGACCCGGAGCGTCCTCGGCACTTGCGGGCAGGGCGGTCGCTGGTACCTCAGGGTGGCCTCCCTCTGCCGGGCTTGATGCCCCGTCCTGGGTCCTGGACGACGCCCTTGCCGCTGTCCCTGTGTGTGTCCCGCTGCCCCCAGGTGCCGGGAGGTTTCTGCCACCCGCCTGCGCTCTGCGGGCCACACTGGCTGGGAGGTGACCCTCACTTCTGAGGGGGTGGGGCCGAGCAGGCGTGTGGCCCCTGGTCCCAGGGAGTGCGTGAGACGCAGCGGGTGTTTCTCTCCTTCAGCTGCGGCCAGGCGCTGCCCTGCGGGGCCGCGCCCCCCCAGGCGTCTGACTCCTCCACCCAACAGCAAAGAAGTGGCTGCACACAAAGAAATAGCTCAATATGCATTAAGCCCAGGTTATTTTTTAGAAAGTATTGTCAGTTTTTATTTTTTGACTATTAAAAAGGGGCATACATATGCAAATGCGGTTTAATCAGCCCGGCTAACCTTTCAGCCAGCTGATGTGTGCCCTGAAGGCCGCCTCCCCTGGGGTGGGGGCCTCCGGGGCGCAGTGTGGCCCGCCTTCTGCCTGACCTCAGAGCCAGGCTTTGTGCCTGAAGTCTCCAGGGCCCAACTCTCCTGTCCTTGCACCCCCAGGCTGCCTGCGAGGCCCTTGGTTGGCCTTGTGTGGGGCTGCAGGGCTGGGGCTGCTGCAGCTGCTGGGAGGGCAGCCCTAGGGGCCCGGCCCTGCTCACCGTGGGGTCTTGGGATGGGACAGGGCGGTGCCCCTCCGTCCCCTCACTGGTGGGGTTGGGGCCTGACCTGACGCCCCTTCCTGGGTGTGTGGCTGGCTGCATGTGCTGGCCTCTCGCCTCCTGGCACCGTGGCCCAGGTGCCCGTGCACACCGCTGCCCAGGGCTGGCCAGGCCCACGTGTCTTCTCTGGCCAGGTCTGCAGCATCCCGATGTCCCAGCGCCTGCTCTGGCACCCCTTCTGCCTGACGCGCCTGGAAGGGCCCTCGGCTGGGCTCGCGAGGCTGTGTCCCTCCACCCTGAGGCCGTGGCCTGCTCAGTCTGACAGGACAGCTCGGGAGGCGGGCGTGGCACCGGGTTCAGCCCGTTCCCAGAGCCCATGGCTGACAGCCGCCGAGGGCTCCGGAGATGCCCAGAGGGTCACCAGTTCCACTGAGCCTGCGTGACAGGCCCTCCTGGGGCCCCTGAAAGAACAGGGAGCACAGTGTCCAAGAAAAACTCGGGTGCTGTCTAGTGGGGACCTGCCTGCACAGGGGCTCTGGGAGCACATTCTGCCTGTCTTGCCCCTGGCTCCGGCACTGGCGGAGGCTTCTGGACCTCTCCCGGCTTCCTGCCGCCAGGGCCCTCGGGTGCAGCGCAGCGCCTCTGCTCTCTGCAGGGCCTCCCCGCGGTCTCACCGTGTCTGCGAGACCCCAGGCCCTGAGCTCGTGTTCACAGGGCCCGCTGGGGTTCAGGCCTGAAGGTTTGCGGGGGGTGCGGTGAAACCCACAGCTCTCCGGCGCACGTGGGGCTGCACTCTGTGAGCCGCTGCAGGCCTGGGCTTCAGACGGGCCCTGGTCAGCACGAGGAGGCGGCCCTGCCGCTCTGGGCTGGCCGCGTGCCCTGAAGGTCGCTGTGCTCCAGAGAACAGGACGAGCAGAGCCAGGTCCCTGTGGGGTGTCCGGACCACGCCCTTGGGAGACAGGTGACCCAGCCGGGTCTGTGTCGGGTGGCGTCTGCCTGACGTGCAGAAGTGGGAGTTCGCGTCCTCCGCACAGAGCTGCGGCTGCGCGGTCGTGGGCGGCCTCCGTGGCTCGTGGCCCCGTGGGCTTGGCCCTGCCTGCAGTGGGGCACGGCCAGCCTGCCGTCCTCAGGCCCGTGGGGCAGTCACTGGGAGCACCTGGGCACCCACCACCCCAGACTCTCTCCTTCCCCTGCCCCGCGTGGACAGTGTCAGGAGCGAGCTGCTTTAATGACGTCTCGGAACAAACATTTGCTCTAAAGTTGTCTTCGCCGCCTCTGCAGCTGACGGTGCTTTTAGAACAACGAGCTTGCTGTGCGCTTGAGTCTGCGCCTGAGGAGGAGCCGGCGTCTGAGAGGAGTGTCCGTGTTTTCTTGAAGGAGGGAGGCTCTGTTACGAGTTCAGGTTCTTTGGCGTGTCTTTGGCTTCTGCTCCCTCGGTGGAAGTTCGAGTCCTGCCCCCAGCTCGGAGCTGTGCCGGCCCAGACGCGGCTTCTGCTGGGCCTTAGTCTTTGGGCTGCTGCTGTGGCCGCCTGGCCGGGCCCTACAGTCAGAGGACAGACGGCCCCACGGAGGCCGCCACCCGCCCCGCTCCTCTGCTGGCTCCGTCCAATCTGAAGGCAAAGCTGTTGTGGGTTTTCTGGATTGGGCAGTGCTGATAATAAAAAGATGTGATTCCTGCAGCCCCCTCCTGCGTCTGGCCCGCTGGCCTGCCAGGTGCCGCCCTTTAAAAAGCTCACGCCAGCCACTGCCTCTCCCCAGGACTTAGAGGCAGGAG